GGAAATCAATGCTGCATGCATGATAATAAATATGTAGCATGTATTTCTTCTTGCTCTGTATGGATGTATTGGTTGAAAAAATATAAGCACGGTCTCCAATATAAGCGTGGTTTCCAATACAAGCACGGGGTAAAGGGGTGTTGAAAAAATATAAGCTTAGAGAATATACGGTATGCGTTGTACGTGTGGGGTTGTTGTAGGGACGGCGTGGGTCAGTAAGCTATGGTTACGGTGCCTAACAAGCACTCAGAACGTGTCTCAAAGTGCCGGCACAAAACACAAATCCCTCCTAGAATACAGCGACGTCACCCAACCTACTAACTACTTCCACTGACATTGCCATAGCCTACTCATAGTGCGTGGGTGGGGGGGGGGGGGTGTTGGTGTGGGGGAATAGATTAGGGGGGGGGGGGGTGTTGGTGTGGGGGAATAGATTAGGGGGGGGGGTGTTGGTGTGGGGGAATAGATTAGGGGGGGGGTGTTGGTGTGGGGGAATAGATTAGGGGGGGGGGTGTTGGTGTGGGGAATAGATTAGGGGGTGTTGGTGTGGGGGAATAGATTAGGGGGGGGGGTGTTGGTGTGGGGGGAATAGATTAGGGGGGGGGGGGTGTTGGTGTGGGAGAATAGATTAGGGGGCGGGGGTGTTGGTGTGGGGGAATAGATTAGGGGGGGGGGGGGGTGATGGTGTGGGGGAATGGATGGGGGGGGGGGGGGTATACATGTCTGCAAACTTACCGCAGAAGGTTGACACAGAGTGTCCAGAATGTCTCTGATCTCTTTGTAGACTTGAGAGGCGCTGGGACGCTGCGCAGGTTCGTCCATGCACCGACTGAAGACAGACTCGAGCAGGGCACACGCCGTGACTTCAGGAGAGCCAGCGGCCGTGTCGTCCATTTCCTCCTCGCACTCGTTTTCGTACTCGCACAGCTGCACGTCACCGTTCGAGATGAGTCTGGGCTTCTTGACCGACGGTGCTGACGACGTTTCCTCCGTCCTGCCCAGGACGCGCATGCCCAGCCTGCCCAGGGCAAGAATGTCGGCCTCCGCGCTTCCTGCCGTGCTGTGGTCACAGCAGAAATGATGACTCTCCTCGCGTGCGCGCTGCTTGCACGGTGTATCCGAGCTGTCAGCAGAGCCACTGCCTTCACTGCTGGCGCTGCACGACACCAGGAGGTCGAGTTTCGCGACGCCATGACGGACGTAAACATTCTCCGCGGCAATGCGGCGATGCGACATCCTCTCCGTGTGCAGATGATGCAGACCAGTGGTGATGTTGAGCATTATTTCGCACGCAGTCGATAACGAGAGCTGCTGTTCGAGACATGACTCCAGCGGATCGCCGGGCTCCTCGAACACAATCGCAGGCGTTCGGTGCACGCACGACACGCCCAGCACATGGACGAGACACGGATGCCGCAGCCCGCGCAGCCGCAAGCAACCCGGGGTGAGATCCAGGGGCGTCTGCTGGCGCTGCGCGTGCGAATCGCCATTGCCGTTCTTCTTGCCGTTGCCTTCGTCGGAGACGGTAGTGTGACACAAGAGTGCACGAACGCCAACTCCTCGCCATTCAGCTTTTAAATACCCGCGTTTGTTACCGTCTTGCTCACTGCTCGCCACCTCACAGTCAATTTCACCGACGTACATCGAGTCAACGTTGCTGAGCCCGAGCTCAGTGAGTGTCGCGGCCATTGTATTGTAATGAGACGATGTGATCTTCAACCGAGAGTTGCATCAGCGTGGCCTGTGGAAATCGAAAACGGTGCAGAATACGCAAGATCCAAACACACACGCACACACACACACACACACACACACACACACACACACACACACACACACACACACACACACACACATGCATGGCTGCAAACAAGCAGACAGGTGTGTAGACTTGCAAATCAGGTAATGCCAACGCCCTCCGAGGCTGAACATGGGCGCAGGACACACATCCCCCCCCCCCCCCCAGCCAAAGTCCCTGCTAGAACATTTCAAAAAGGATCAACACATTGATCTTGACAAACAGTGCCACAGTGCTGCAGTTCAGTCACAGAGAGAGAGAGAGAGAGAGAGAAAAGCTTGAAGCCATATACCGTAGACCACACGATGTTTGCGTCGACAAATCTTCTCGATTTCTCAGAACCAAGACGATTGCGCAACGGCAAATGTGCGCCGAGCACTGTGGACGCACACGTTTGCAGTTCAACTTCACGTCACGCTGGTTCATACTTTGCACTGCCGTTCTTCAAAATACAAATACATAACACTCTCCTCCTCCATGGGCTCTAAAGCCGACCATTGCTGCCCTCGGTAGCCATTACTCACACCAATAATTTCAACCGTTCTTCTTGTGAAAAAATAGCTCACTGGTTATATAAAATTTAAGCTGCGCTTCCACAGGCATCAACATCGGGTGTGCCTTTCAGTATGGAAAGTGCACACCTATCGGCCTTTCGCTCGCCGCATCTGCAGTTTACGCACCGAAACTTCAACCTTCGATAAGCATACAAGTACCGGCAGATCATAACAGCTAGCTTGCTATCTGCATGTGGTCACTCTGCACAGCGGCGACAACAAGATCGGTGCGCGAAGACAAACGATACTCCTTGCTCCGTAGCCAGGTGGAGCCTGGCGGAGGTAGCGTTGCCGCGACCTGAAATCATACCACGATAGGGAACTTGCCACCTAGTTTCTCATTCATTCAAACAACGCAACGAAGACGTTGAACAATGACTACGTCGCTTTGCATAAACAGGGCAAGTAACTTGATGTTTTGGCGTGGGCGAGTGGCACATGGCATGCATGCCAAGCCATATGGCATATGCCACGTCATGTCAAAATTTTACCAGGGCGGCATTTCAAGAAAAATGACAACCTCATTCCGACATCAAAATGTAACCAATCCAGTCAGACTCGACGTATTAAAATAGATTCCACGGGTCGCTAGTATCGTTTCGCAGTGCTGTCGCAGACTGACTTGTCTTCGCTGCGCGATCAATAATTTGATTCTCACTATGCTGAACTGTGAAGTAACTAGTAGTAGTTATGTTCACCCCAGTGTCTGGAGATAATGTGGATTTTGTAGAGAAAAAAAAGAAAAAATATCTAGCGCAATCCTACCTTTACCCTGGCTCTGCTTGCAGGGGATAATTATCGAAACTCCCATTCTAACATTGAGGAATCGAGATTCGAGAAGCAACTTCGGCAGAAACTGAGAAAGCTCCGAAGAGACCATTAATTTTGTGTAGCTCAGCATTGCGCAACTCGGTGTCGATCGTTGGCTGAAGCACTCGCTAAAGCTAAAAATACTAGTCTAAAGATAAACATTCGCTGCACATTCTGCATGTGTCTATGCCGTCGATTCGCCAGCAGCGCACCATGTATTCTCGGATCGGTTTCCGCTCGCCGCCGAGAGAGAAGGAAATGGAAATTCCAAACGCAGCGGTGCGTACGCGCGTACAGAGTCATGTGCGCTCACACGCTCATCCCGTGAAACAGAAAACAGAAAACGCAGGCCAGAAAATTCACAAACATGCCAGAAGGCATGAAATAGCGCGCCCGCTTTGCACGCACGTAGATCTACGTTTGAGGAACATGGTAAAGGAGCACTGGCAACGCGCCGACGTGGACGGAGAGAGCTCAGGCACACACCAGAAAATAAAGTCATAACACAAAAGCAATCTTCACTTTAGCAAACTCGCCTTGATAATAATAATAATTTTGATCGAGACCGCCCTCCGCACGCACGTCTCCAGGATGCATTGCATAGTCTAGGCATGAGCATGCAGCGCAGGCCAGCGTAACTACACTGCATGCTGTGCGTGCTCGGACCGAGGGCATGGGCCAGCACGCACGCATGCATGCCGCTGCTAGGCCAGCTAGCTAGCCAGCAGAGGAAAGCCTGAAACTGCCCCGCAGTGAAACTGCAGCACTCCCCTGACAAGTGATGAGTGTTTGACTACAGCCTGCCGTGCAGACAACTGAGAGTCTGTAGCAGGCGACCGTATCCACGACACGCAGAGAATAAGAAAGGACAACCAGAACTTACCTTGAAGAGAACAAAAACTTGCCGTTCCCTGCTACCGGCCACACACCTCTACAACTCAGCAACGCGAAATGATCCCGGTACGGTGAGACCTCCGTTCACGCTAGCAGCTACACACAGCAAGTGCGGTCTGAGCGCTCCACAAACAATACAGGCCCGGCGAGGCTGAAAAAACTCTGTCTCTCTCTCTCGCCTCGTGTCCAATCCTCCACCTGCCACAACTAGTACACGGAAACTCAAAGTCAACACTGCCAGGAGTGCTGCGTCTGGCCACTGGCACTAGAAATCACGGTCTTCCTCTCGTCAAACGCTCCAGAAGCGTACTGCTGAGTCCCTCAGCGGAGCGAAAAGAAAAATAACAGCTAGTTGTCACATGGTTCTCCCATCGGTCAACGCAGTGTTCAACGCAGTGTTCAATGCAGTAACAGAAGCAGTGCATGCAGGGTTTCTTGTGCGAGGCACGCAGCGAGACTGAGCTGCGCTGCAGTGACGGGATATGACTAGTGGTGACTGCAGAGCTGTCCACTGATAATGACTTTCTGCGCGATGTTCCAACACATAACATGTGCTGGACCCTGGCAGGCTGGCTCGACATGCACGTCAGTGCGTGCCTGGCCGCTTGTCACACGGCACTTCGTCTGTCACTGCGCATGTGGCCCACTTCTTTTCCAGCCAAGCCTGACAACTCACTCGACAAAGTGTCAACTGGTCACATCCCGGGTGCTGGTAGATATGTGCGTGCGCGTGCATGGTCGTTACGTGCGTGAGTAGCTATCTACATGACTGTACTTGTTTGAAAGTTGTTTCGCTTTCGGCATACACGTGAATGATTATGTGAAGTACAGTACACCAGGTAATCATGATCTGTATTCAGGTATTTGCACTGAACAGTATGACAGTATCACACATGACACATAATAATTATACGGAATCTACACTATTATAACAAAATTAATGATTATGTGCATGCAAGCTCGCGTCGTCTTTGACTTTTGTCTTGAGCTAGACAAGACTCAAGAGCTATCCCAGAGCCAACCACTTGAGACAAGCAACCTCTGCAATGGCGGTGCGCGGGGCAGATCTGCATGACCATGATGACTGAACAAGAGTCAAGACAGCAGCAATTAGTAGTCTACTACGGACATCATTGTGAGTGTCACTGCACTCGCCACTACTGCACTAGTCTAGCAGTCGCAAGAACGCGTAGTAGATCTACCCAGCAACAAAGTTACTTGAGCAAGCGGGGGCAAATGATTATGATTGAAATGACTACATGTCATGCACATGTACAATGTACGTGCATGTTGCTGTACTGGAGATGAGGTCAGTGTGCGGTGGACGTGTTCATCAGTCTGTGGCTGGAAATGGCATGAACCAGGAAACACGTTGTCTCCATTGCGATATCGACATCGTCCTTCGTCCCCATGTCATCATTCCCATGATTCATGCCACATCCCGCAAAGTGACGTAACAGCATCGCCATCCGCAGCGCTCAGCTCCCGTCCCATGTCCTACTGACTCTGTACTGCTGTAGTGCAGTGATGCTAGTACTAGTAGTAGTACGGTCATGTACTTATAACTAAGTTACTTTCAGCTATGCAAAATTAATTAATTATTATTTTATGCAAAAGTTGGGTGCCCATCTTCTGTTGCCTCAACCATTCGTTCCATCGCGGACATGATCACCTATCCAATAGTCTATTATATTGATTATTGAACTCGGATGGTGAGCCAATAATTATAGTTATGATGAAGAAAGAAAAAGGACAAAATGTTACGAGTTACATGTACATGTACATGTATGACAAACTGTCGACCAACGTACCTGTACAAGTAACCAGATCTTAGACAATCAGCGAGTGCGACAAAATGGCACAAAACTGACAAGGAGTACTGAGACACTGGAGAAGTGTTGGAGTTAGGTGTCAGGTCGCCGAATGTCTCAGTACTCCTTGTCAGTTCTGTGCCATTTTGTCGCACTCGCTGACTGTCTAAGATCTGGTTACGTTGGTGGACAGTTTGTCATACCTGTACATGTAACTCGTAACATTTTGTCCTTTTCCTTTCTTCATAAGTTCATTGATTATTCTTATCTTTTCACATCTTTCCCTCGAGTGGGTCTATTGTTATTACTAAAATTAGGCAATTGTCTGTTATAATTATAGTCACCACTATAAATAAAATCCAATCCAATGACGTTAGAACTTAGAAGTCAGGTACTACAATAGTGTTTTACTTCACCTCCAATCCACAACACACGAACAGTCAATCCTTGACTACACCACGTACATGTACATTGTAGTACAGTCAGTAAGTATTGTTTCTAAATTTCCACCCAGGAGGGCATCATCAGGGATACCATGTGCATGCACAGTGAAACCTGTCTAAGACGACCTCTCAAGGGACCTTCAAAACGTGGTCTCCGTTACCAGGTGGTCACCGTGGTCTCCTTATCCAAGGTCATTTGACTGGAAAATTAATAACATCCCTTGGTTCTGGTTGCAGTGGTCTTCTGGGAAAGGTGGTCGCCTTATCCGAGTGGTCGCCTCGACAGGTTTTACTGTACAATCATGCACATGTACATTATACATGTACATGTGCATGTACATGTATATACGGAGGGTCATGAGAAAGAGGGCAGAGGTGATGGTCCAATAGGGTCCAGCGGATAATGCCCGCATTATATTCTGCATTGTGAGACGATCCGAGCATCATGGAGCAGTAGAAAGGAACAAGACGAGCATTATGCGTGGTTTGAGCGGCATAACGAGAAATCTCAGGTGTTTGGCAACAATCGGCTATAAAGCCATGAGGTGCAACGCCATGTATTGTACCGGCACATGACGTTATGATTTTGTAGACAGGTAACACCTTTAGCACTAATGCTACATTTACCCGACTGCATGCATGTAATGTAGGCACCGGCTGATAATGCCGGCAGAAAAATTGGCAGGATTGGGTACTTTTTCTGGTAAGTTTCATGCATGTTTGGTATGTGGATAAAGAAATGGAGCAGAATTTGACGAATTACCCGCCATGAGGTTTGTACATGGTTCTGCCAATTTCATTGTTTTTCGAGCAGAATCTGCCACCTTTTCGAGCATTATCCGCCAATGCCTAAAATTGTAATGCCATTTCTACATGAAGTCTTTATGTAGCAATGTAGTCAGGTAAAATTATTTACAGGTTATGTAACGTTAGCATGCCCAACGTTGCAACTGAGGCTGTTACACAAAATCCGTAACGATGATTTACGAGGACTGAGGAGTTCTTTTTTAGAAATCATGGAGCCTGTGGCCCGGAGAGCCATGGAGGAGACTAGACGTACGCGAAGTGAATATCAAACAGACGAAGAGGAGTTTTCCTGCTATGCCATAGGCTCTGGCCATAGCATCTCTAGCGATACTGAAGTAAACATTGACCCATTGATACATTTGGACCGGGATGAAGGAGCGGCTATAAACAGAAAGAGTTTGTTCAAAATACAATGTACAATGTAACTGCCTTGGCCCAGTCCAGCTCAGCAGGCTCGAAAAGAACTAGAATTTCTCATGGACGCAGTGCCAAGTCGATTTGAGTGCTCAGCAGCGCATGTCTTTCTTTCCGGGTGAAGCACGTACAGTTCGTCGTGGACGTGGACGATTGTAATGCAAGGCATGCAGTCAGGTACTATCAGAAAAGAAGAGTATTGTGGCAAACCATTTGTCTCCACCCAACCTCAGGAGAAGAAGACAGCGCAAGCAGAGGATGTAGAGCGGCAAAATAGCTTCTGGCTACGTGTTTTCAGGATTTCCGCAAATGGGAGGGATCTCGATCTGAGATAGTCTCTCAGGAACTGGCCTGAAGTGAGCTGTTTCAGATCATCGGACGACATTTTTCACAGAGTGGAAGCAGTGACAGCTTGTCTGCAGGCAGGAATACCACTTCCCATGCTGAGCTTCCAGCATCCAAATGATCACCAGCAATAATGGTTTCACCTCTCACTAGATGGATAAGCAAGGAAAAGATTTGATACACCCATATTCGCCCACAGCCCTGCATCAAATTTGCAATGGAGAGCAGCCAATGGAGACGCGATCATGTCTTATAGACTGT